GATATATTTGACTGTACAGACAATACGATATCTTAAAAAGTACCTGCTGTGTTTCACATACGTTCATTTATTTGTGGCGACCCGCCACAGTATCAGCGCTGACCGCCACAGATTGATTTTCGTTTTTTTTACTAGGCCTATTTAAAATTGAATTTGATTGCAGAGCTTCAGGCAGCGCGTGTTCGTGCTGCACATCCTCTCGCTCGTCCCTCTGTCTCTCTCTTGCTCTCCCTCACGAACACCGCTGCACAAATCTGTCCGACACAACGCTGGGTTAGCACGCTATATATAGCTGGTAGTCAGTATCGTCCTGTAATGTTAATTATGCATAGTCAAATTTGGCTTATTATTTATAAAACTGCTTCAGTGTTTCACATTAATTAGCCTAACAAGACTATGGCGGCCTGAAAACATCCAGTTTGTTCAAAATGAACTGAATCCGGTTTTAAAAATAAGGTGTTTACACAATGTATATACAGTATGGAAATAAGATGAATTGGATTATGTTAACAGGAAGTAATAAAACATTGTTACATGTGTTCAGTATAAAGGCAATAAAATGTTAGGAAATGTAGGGTTGTTGTAAAAACATTAAATAAATGACTTTTTTTCTGTGTCATCACCATTTATATCTGTACAATGTGTTTATGATCAGATTATTTACTAGAGCACAAAATTGTTACCAAGAGTGCAAAGTTCTTCAAAGGTCTAGCCTATTTATTGGGCCGTATTACAGAAACTTCCTAACCGGCAGATCCTATCCTAACTGCTTGGTAGGCCTGAACAATAAAACAATAACATTTTTTTCAATAACAATATAATAAATGTTCAATAAATATTCAATAAATGTTTGATTTTATTCACTTGAATAATACACGAATTAGGACTTAATTTTTAATAAGATGTTTATTTTGTTGAGGAAAAATGACTGAAAAAAGCTTTTACTTAATTTTACTCGTGCATATTTAAGATTTTATCATAAATGTTTTGTATGTTCTACCTCAGATTTTTGAAGTGATCCTCTGTTTGGCTTCAAGTGTTGAATATAATGAAGAGTTTAAACGACAGTTAACCATCGGGTTTCTTCAACTTTAACTCAGGAGCAAAAATCAGCCTTTAAACTCGAAAGAAAGAACGATTTGATACTTATCGTGATAATTATCGACATCGAAAGATATGAAACCTTTTGGCCGTATCGTCCAGCCCTACTGCTTGGTAACCGTGGTAATAGGGGTTAGGAACTGATTTAGGAAAAAGGTTAACAGTTCCCTAGTCAGTGTTCCTCTCCTAACTCTAGATAAGAAAAGTGTTTTACAGAAGCATCCTAACTTCTTAAATAAACTCTCCTAACTTCAGGAGAACTGTTGAGCTGTCCTAACTTTACTTTTCCACCAGGTAGAGTTTAATAACTCGTTTAATCCACACGGCTGCTCTTTTATTTCTTTTACAAAATCAACAAAATGTCAACAGCTGGAACTTAATTGATTCTACACATGTGCAGGCGATGTGACGCTGGATAATGTCTCATTATAAAACATAATGTAAAGATGTAACAAAAGGATCCTAATGCAAGGCTTTGATATGAGGAGATCGTTAAATTCAAGAAATACATGAAAAACACGATGACGTTAGCAGCAGCCTTTATTATTATTAGCCTTTTTTTTTTTTTTACTGTCATTATTAACTTTCCCGAGAAAAGTAGTCTTCTGCCGGGGTCACTGATGAGCACCAGCGGTTTCATCTGCTCTGTGGACACTACAGTGGCCCGTGTCTTCATATCACTGTCAATGGACTTCTTCTTCTTCTACTTGTGTTTGGCAGCATCAACGCTCCGCTGGACGCCAGATATGCGGCGGAGAGTGCGTCTGCTATTTTAGCCCACTCTCTCTCTTTAATCTCCAGAGTTAAGCGTTATTTGGATTTCTCGACGCAGGTTACAAACACCTCTAAGACAGGATTCCTAAAGTTAGTTAAAAATAAAAAATAAAAAGTTAGAGAAAAATCCTATCTTAGACTCTTCCTGTCTTTACTTAAGACTT